GCGGTTTCTTTCTTCTGCTCGACTACTTATGCCACATCAACGTGGCTCTCAATGGCGCATTAGAGGGCAGCGCAACGAAAGGCAGCCAAGGCGTGTGCGTACACAACGCGGAGAACCAACTCGACTCGAACACAAATTATAGACTCCCGTCACGACCGTTGAGGCGACTCCAGCCGTACGCGTACCTACGTACGAGCATACGTGGATCCACCAATCGCTATTTCGGGCACTCACGGACATACGTGTGCCCCCGTTGCTAAGGGTACGCGGACGGGGACGGCATTCACGGACACGCACGTCTCCCGATCCTTTTCACCTAGCGTATCGCGTTCGAATGATTATTCCTCTCTCCCTTCGCCGTTCCATCCCTCTTTCTCTTCTGCACTCGACGTCTCTGAACGATCTTTCTCTGTTTTTCTCTTTCTCCTTCTCTTTCTCCTCCTCCTCCTCCTCTTTCTCTCTGGGTCGCGTCTTTGTCGACGGACGCGCAAATCGCTTTAGGGTAGATCAAGAAGTCGGCGACTACGCGGACTCTCCCGGAGGACCACTCGAGCAGCAGCCGATTGTTTGATCGGCATCGAGGACCGACTTCTTTCTTCTTCCTTACTCGACGAGTCGCTTGCCGGCGCAATCTACTTCTTTCTATTCCGTGGACCGTTAACGGTCGACCAATTCGGCCGACCAGAGAGAGAGAGAGGAAGAGAGAGAGACGAGTCCTCGTTGATCGAACTCCTTCGACCTGGCCCGCCTCGAGAGCCTCTTCCACCCCGAATGAATTTCGGCACGATTTGCATACGCTTCGGGAATCGCTCGTCTCCTCGATAGATATGACCAACCGATTTTTTTATGCCAACGCGTTCATTGTTCGTGCCAGCTATCGATCTAAGAGAACAGAAATCGATTGGCACGATGCAGAGCGATACAGGCAAACGGGGCGAATTATGTAAAAGCGTGCAGAATGATCGAATGAGATCGAGGATAAACAGGTGTCTGGAGGCTTGCGAGCATTGCGCTATCAATTTTGGTGGGCACTGCAGCAGTTTAATTTTCGGCGTTTCAATGGAAGAATCCGCCGGAGAAAACGCGGCAGCGAACAATGGTCAGGCCGAGGACACATCCCCGTGTATCTTGTCGCCGCCGTTTGACAAGCGACAGGCGGTGACACGCCTGTAAAATTGCTTCTCCGGTGGAGCGAAAGTTGCCGGGCTCGACGAGGCAGAGCACAGAGGAGACAATTTTCGGGGGTGTGAAAAATATTAATAACACCGGTGTTGCAGCGTAAGGGACGAAGGGCTTCCGAGAGTAAGGGATGGCATAGAGTCGGAGGCCGAGGGGGTGGCTGGGTCAGGGGAGGGGGTGGCAAGTGTTTCTGTCAGTTTAATAGCTTCGCGCCTCTCCTCCTCCCCTCCTTGCCTGCCCACCCCTTGGAGTCACCCCACATGCGCACACTTTGCCACCGACATTACGGCATCGTCACTCTACGTGTCAGAAGTTGCGCTAGACCTAGAAGCTCTGCTTAGATCTGATAACCCTTTGATACTCCCGTTATTTATTACCCCTCCGGCGTCGCCGTCATCGACGATGCCGACCTCGACGTCGACGTCGACGTCCTGCGTCCCCGAATCGATCAGCCCGTTCTCGGGGACGGCCGGGAACGAGCGTGTGCACGCAGGCAGCCTGTGTCGACTGTCGAGGCGCCTCGCCGCGCCGCTTTTATTCGCCAAAGTTGCTTCCCCATTGACCAACATCTCTCTCTCTCTCTCTCTCTCTCTATCTCTCTCGCGTTCCAAAGAATTTTTATTCCACCCCCGCGCGGCTCGCTCGCCAACGTGGAAATCAGAGTCCCGGCCGCGATTTGTCACGGGGCCACGCGATTTCAACGAAGAACGAGGTGAGATCAACATCCGAGGGCGCCGAGACGCTTTTATACCGGTGTAAATCAACCCTCTGGCCAAATATCGCGAACGTACGAAGGGCACCGACATTCCCGGCCATAAAGAACGATATAACTGTACGCGACACATGTCTTCCTGCCTCCGAAACACGCTCGCATCGCCTCCGCAACTCGATTTTCAAGGCACCAAACGAAGATTTGTTTCGACGATTTCCCGCCCGCTTATTATTATTGGCGACGGTTCTTGCGGCGCTGATTTACCGGCTCCCGGAAATTTGAACCAGGGCTTTTTATTTTCGAAGAATCAAACGGTATAACCGCGTTTTTGTGGAACGATCGTCGAACTGCAACGACTCGCAGTTTCCGTTGGACGTTATTGAAAGCAGAGAAAAGGCGTCTCTGAAACTCTACTCCTTCGATTGACTCCCGAAGTCAACGTCCAGATTGACGCGTCCAAACCGCAATGAATTGCGAGTCACGGTCGTGCCGAGAGATCTAGACAGGCGCGTGACAGCTACTTTCCGAAGAAAAAGGTGACCGAGCCTGTCCAATAAAGATTTCGATGGTTGTTCCACTGACCCTGACTCCGCGTGGGGTCCGCTCCGACTGCCGTGCTTTCTGGAGCACTTCTCGACCGAGGGTTCGGCTGGAAAAAAATTGTTCGCACCCCGATATTTGACCTCTGCCTCTGCCTGTAAATTCCGCGTCTTTCGCCTGGAAATCGGGACGTTTTTATTTCGAATATTGAATGGATCACGGTTAACGTTCTATTCCGGGAAACACCACAATTCGTAGCTCGTCCGAGATCTGTACAAATTGGTGATTAATACAGAGCGGAGTTGATGCATTTGTTGCAAAAATTAATGGATAAAATACAGGATAGTCAAAATATTGTTAGAATTTAAGAAGACACTGTTACATTATTTTCAACACTGGTTGAAACTATTAAAAGAACAGATACGTTTTTATTTAACACTCGTTTCATACAATTGCTGAACAAAATTTTTATTTTGCACAAAGATATCTCCGTTTAACGATTAATAAACGCACTATGAATTTGATGCATTTGCGACAAAAATGAGTAAATAACGTTTGAAACTGCGAATAGATTATAAGTATTCATGACTGCTGTTGCTTTCAATTTACCGAAAATATTCAAGAAGCGAAACGTCGGTTGGACTCCAGTTTCTCACAATTGACGCAGACAATTTTTATTCTACACAAAGATTCCGAGTTTGTCGACAACACGCGCTTTCGTCAGAAGCAATTCCTCTAAGAAAAGTTGCAATTGGATGCTAATGGATATTGTTTCAAACGGATCGAACAATGATTGCCATATTGCCAGAGAAACATTTTAAACCTTTGAAAGCCAATGCCGACGTACTGACGACATCAGGACCGCATGTCTTATCCCAGAAGTTGCAAACGTGTAATCTGATTATAGCCATAACAGAAGATCAGGACATATTGATCATTGTTCCCTGCACTTAGGTTTTTCATAGATAATCTTATTCTCCGAGGAATATATTTTTAGCATTTTAAAAACCCCCCGTCCGCAAAGAGTTAATAGGCGAAACGAATAATCGAGACTTTGCAGCGAGTGGGGATTCACAGTCGATGGATTATCGATCGATCATGTCGAGTACAAAGGGGTGTTTTTTTTCGGCGGATCGTTGAACGCGAGCCTCGGGCCGATCTTTGACGTTCGACCACGGACTTGTCTGGTTCGTTATCAGTGTCACGTTTTCCGATTCCTCGTTTCTGCCCCCACCCCTGTCGGCGGTCTCTCAGACTCACATAGGACAGCCGCAGGCAGGCAGGCAAGCAGGCAGGCAGGCAGGCAGAGCCGGGTTCCTCCACCAGTGTAACGCGGTCTCTTCTCTCGTTCTCGTGCTCTTGCTCGCACTCTCGAGGGATGCTGTGGCGCGCTGGTGGGGATCCGAATGCGATAGGGGTTGCTCCGCCCGTGGGCCAACCAGAGGTCTCGATGGAAGCGGCTCCGCCACACCCCGTGGATCGTCCCTGGCTTCCCTCGGGAGCCCTCGTCGTGCCATCCTCTTCTCAACAGATTTCGGATCCTCTAGTCTGCCAAGAGCCAGCTGACACGGAGCAGCGCTCTTCTCGTTATCCGTTTCTTATTTCGATCGCGTCTTCGCCGGGCCTGCGCCGCACGACGCGCGACGCGGACTCCCACGGATTCTCCGCTCCGCAACTCCGCTCCGCGATTCCGCTCCTCGCCGAGACAGTCCGCTCGACTGCCCCCTGCGAGGATCGCTGCTACTACCCCCCGCCGGGCGCCGCGCCGGCAATCTTTATCGCCGCGGAACGACGATCATGCGTATCGATCCGCGGATCATGGACAGCACGATCCGCTCGGAATTTGTCGCGTACCCCGCCGGCCAGTGTGTTGACGTGTGAAAACTCTTGTGACTCGGCTAGCATGTGTGGACAGTGTCGTTGACGTTCTATGCTCGAAGATTCCTCGGAGTGTCTGTCGCCCACCCACGTCGATCACCGATGAGCTGCCTCGACCTATCGCGACCCATGGTCGACTACAAGATGAATGGTAAGTCGCGCCAGCTTCCGGCAGGGTCGACCGACACGTATCAACGATCTCGCCCGCGTCGATCGCTCGCGAAGGAAACTGAATTAAGGCTGCAGACGGTCGAAGGTGAAGTGCCGCCGATAAAGCCTAATGCTCGTTAATGTCACGCTCGTGCCACAGGAAATAACAACGATACCGCGAGANATCTTATTCTCCGAGGAATATATTTTTAGCATTTTAAAAACCCCCCGTCCGCAAAGAGTTAATAGGCGAAACGAATAATCGAGACTTTGCAGCGAGTGGGGATTCACAGTCGATGGATTATCGATCGATCATGTCGAGTACAAAGGGGTGTTTTTTTTCGGCGGATCGTTGAACGCGAGCCTCGGGCCGATCTTTGACGTTCGACCACGGACTTGTCTGGTTCGTTATCAGTGTCACGTTTTCCGATTCCTCGTTTCTGCCCCCACCCCTGTCGGCGGTCTCTCAGACTCACATAGGACAGCCGCAGGCAGGCAGGCAAGCAGGCAGGCAGGCAGGCAGAGCCGGGTTCCTCCACCAGTGTAACGCGGTCTCTTCTCTCGTTCTCGTGCTCTTGCTCGCACTCTCGAGGGATGCTGTGGCGCGCTGGTGGGGATCCGAATGCGATAGGGGTTGCTCCGCCCGTGGGCCAACCAGAGGTCTCGATGGAAGCGGCTCCGCCACACCCCGTGGATCGTCCCTGGCTTCCCTCGGGAGCCCTCGTCGTGCCATCCTCTTCTCAACAGATTTCGGATCCTCTAGTCTGCCAAGAGCCAGCTGACACGGAGCAGCGCTCTTCTCGTTATCCGTTTCTTATTTCGATCGCGTCTTCGCCGGGCCTGCGCCGCACGACGCGCGACGCGGACTCCCACGGATTCTCCGCTCCGCAACTCCGCTCCGCGATTCCGCTCCTCGCCGAGACAGTCCGCTCGACTGCCCCCTGCGAGGATCGCTGCTACTACCCCCCGCCGGGCGCCGCGCCGGCAATCTTTATCGCCGCGGAACGACGATCATGCGTATCGATCCGCGGATCATGGACAGCACGATCCGCTCGGAATTTGTCGCGTACCCCGCCGGCCAGTGTGTTGACGTGTGAAAACTCTTGTGACTCGGCTAGCATGTGTGGACAGTGTCGTTGACGTTCTATGCTCGAAGATTCCTCGGAGTGTCTGTCGCCCACCCACGTCGATCACCGATGAGCTGCCTCGACCTATCGCGACCCATGGTCGACTACAAGATGAATGGTAAGTCGCGCCAGCTTCCGGCAGGGTCGACCGACACGTATCAACGATCTCGCCCGCGTCGATCGCTCGCGAAGGAAACTGAATTAAGGCTGCAGACGGTCGAAGGTGAAGTGCCGCCGATAAAGCCTAATGCTCGTTAATGTCACGCTCGTGCCACAGGAAATAACAACGATACCGCGAGAATTCGGGATCGTTCCGTATCTATTTTTATCGCATTACGCTCCGATTAGAGACGATCGTTTCGATCGATTCGCCGGGGATCGCGACGCAGGAGCGCCCGACAATATTCTTTCGTGATCCGTTGCGAGTATCGTTGCGCGTACTCGTGGTCGTTCCATAAGAATGGCGGCAGAAGGAAGCTGAACCGCAACCTATCCGGAGTACGAACTGCACGGATTCGTTCCTCCGTCCAACTTCGTTTTCTATCTAATTCCGTGACAAGCTGATAGCATTATCGCCGCTCGTATCGATGATACACGGATGCATGTACGCACGCCTCGAGATCGCAATTTTTAGTTGAGCAGGCGATCGCAGCCTGGTCCCTCTGTTCTAATTAGCTCCGGAGATAAAGGGGCATTTAGACTCGCGAACGGAATCGTTTGACGAGAACGATACGAGCTAATGGGGCCCTACGCGTGTTCCATCAGGATCCTCGTATCACCAGGATGTCCTGTGCGGTCGGGGCAATGCGGTTTACTCGCTTGCGAAGAGATTCGCAATTTGCTTAATTATCTTTTCCGGGATCCGTTCGGGAATATATCCAGCCGGTTCCTCGATTTTTCTATTCAAGATTTATCGACAATTCCGAGCTATTTTCATCGAGACAGTTAGAACGAATCCCTTGTAATCGGGTCAGACTCGCGACGATGATCTCAAACAGGAAATCAAATTCCGTTCTCTTTGGAAATGATTAACCCTGTCGCTGCTGCAAATGTATATTTGCGATGTGTCTATTATATCTATTATAATATGTATTATAATATTGTAATAGATTATAATATTGTAATAGATTTTATAATACATTATAATAGATTATAATAGAATATAATAGATATAATGGACATATCTTAAACATAAGTGAAAAGGTTAGAGGCTATAAATATCCTAGCTGCAAAATAAGTCATGCTCGGAGAGGTTGACACTATCTCGAAGTTCTTGAATGAGCTTCCTCTTCGCCTGTAGTAATTTAAGCGGCGGCCTTATCGCAAGACCGGAGTTTATTAGGAAAACGTAAACATCTAGTTAGGTTCGCCAGGCTTGCACGTGCGAGGTAATTACGTGTCGATGAAGTACTCGCTTTCCGAGTTTGTTCTATCGTCGGGCAAATATACGAAACACCGGAGCCACTCGTGACGATGTACGATTTCGTTGAATTTGATTCGATTTATCATAGAAACGAGTAGCTCTTGTTTCGCGCGATCACAAAATCATTCTCGCGGCAAGCAACCGTTTCGGCGTGGAGAATTAGTTGGCTTAAAATTAATCAGCCTGTCTCGGGAACAGCTCGATCAAAAAATCTAGTCACGACAAGCGTCGCGAGTGCGTTAATACGCTTTAATTGGAGCAACCTGTTTACCCTGGAGGCGAAAGGGTCCGCGAGCAAAAAAGGTGGGAGAGCCCGGGCGTCTTCCCACGAGAAATTTTGATTCTCTGTGCCCTAAGCGGAGCGCGGCACTCGAGCTCTAATCGCGTCGGAAGCCTCTCGAGCCGCTATCATCGGGGATAATATCGCGTATGGTTCAACAAGTACTCGTGGCCTCTGTCAAGGGAGAGAAAACGCCGGAGCACTCTAGTCCCACAGGAGTCAAAGACCCCTGACGCGTCGAGAGTTTTCCAAATATTGTTGTTGCATCGTATCGACGAGTCGCAGAAGAGGATCCTCGAGCTTCCTATCCGGTGGGGAGCCCGAAGAACGCCGCCTCTTCGCGAGCGATCCTCCCGGATCGGTGGTCTAATCGCTTGTCCTGGAATCCTGTTTATTTTATCGATCAGACCGGATATCCGTCTATAGAGGCCGAATGCTGGCCGATTATCCCTCTCTAGCGCGGCGCGGCGCGGCGCAGCGCAGCGGCGAGAACGTTATCTTTACGATTATTCTTTAAAGGATCCCGCGATTTGCCGGTATCGGGCGAGAGCATCATTCGCCACGGAGAAACACGCTCACGTCCCGGCATCCGCATTATCGTCTGTCTCCGCGTTTCGTGTCGATTAGCTCGCCAAGCGGGATCACCGTTTCCTTTTACGACTGGCTCTCGCGACCGCATAACTCGGCGGATCCTTAATCCGTCAAGTGTTTGCTCTTTCTCTCTCTCTCTCTCTCTCTCTCTCTCTCTCTCTCTCTCTCCCTTTTTCTCTTTTCCTCGGGTCAGGGCAGAATTGAAGCTGGCCCCGTAAAATTGATAATTTCCACCGGTTTTATTACACCGACGCGACGGTCCACCAACGCGATATCTCGATCCTGTTGCGGCAGAGAAAAAAGAGAACAGACACGGTCGATTCGAGAGAAATAGAGAAAAAGAGAGAGAGAGGGAGAGAGAGAGAGAGAGAGAGCCGGAGCATCGTAAAAGTTCCACAATGCGAACGGAGTGTGGCCTCTTCCTCTTCCCCGGGATACACCTGCGAGCTTGTCGGCAATTTGCCCAGCCTAGCGGATTCACAGAGAGCTTATACCCTGTTTGCAGAGGACTATGGATCGTCGCAGGTCTCCGTCTCCGTCTCCGTGTCACCGCGGGGACGAGCGCAAACCTCCTAGTTTGCTTTTAGATAGCCGATACAACCGGCCGGGATATCTTTCGATTCGAAGATAACGGCCTGATATTAGAAGGGCCCGGCGTATCCGGTCCGGAGTTATGCAAATAAATCCAGATTCGGCGGACTCGACGCCTCCGAGGTTTCCGGAGGATCCGGCGATCGAGATTATCGAACGAATGAGAGAACAGAGGCACGAGGCCCCGAGTTACGAAGCATGTACGTGCGGTCGCATCTCAGCGTCCACGTCTTTTCAGGAAAAACCAACGGAACAGCAAGGGGGACAATATAATTCTCGGCTTATCGCGTCAAACATTCTCGGCTCGGGTGTCGCATCGCACGCTCGCCAAGCTTGTGACTGTGAAAACCGACCGGCGGTCTCGAGGAGATAGTGTTCTTCGATTGCCACTTGTCCTTGTGTGCCTAGGATTTCGTCCAGCCTCCCCGTGCAGGGAAAACGCCGGGGGTCTCGGCAAACAAACCGTTTCTCACCGACAGCCACTTCTCTCTCGCTCGCGTTTCTCTCGAAAACACCGAACCTTTCGCAGCGACATCCTCCGACTTTTCACATTTTCGGTGCCGGCTCCCCGAAAATACGAAACCGTGCTGCCTTATTCGGATTGAAAAACTCTGAAATACACGAAGCTCGAAAGAGCACTGCGGCATATCGTAGACGTAAATATCGCGGAATCTCTGCGATTGTTGTCCATCGTTGTTTATCGCGGTCCAAGCGGCGCGCGTCGCAACCCTGCAAACAAAAATTTGAGGTCCGATATATCGGAGCGTCGTAGTTCCGGCGTCAAGGTGTCAATGTGTCAAGGTGCTCGGGTTCCAGAGGAGTCCGCGTTTTCTGAAGGAACGACCGGCGCGCGGCAGTTTAAAAAGCCATTCTCGCCTCGGAGCCGGTTCGGTTCGATTCGATTCGATCGGGTTCCGGGCGCACGCAAATCTCGCCGGGGTAAATTGAATGTTCGCCTCGGAACGTAATCTGCGAGCGGAGTTCCCCCCCTCCCCCAAGCGTGGGTGGCCTGACCTTTCGTGGCCGTCGGCCACGGGAGGGGAGAGGCCGATCTTTAATCTGTGTCACCGGTTGTCGCCGGTGGTGAAACGGGAGCCGATTTGTCGCGAGCCCTCTGACCAGGCGATCTCTGCTCTTGTTCCAGGAAGCAGCGACGAAGGCGAGTCGACGTCGGGCACGCCGGTCGGCACCGGTGCCGGTGAGAACGCGGACATGGAGGAGAACGGCTCGGTTCGCAGCGGCAGCAACAGCAATAGCAACAGCAACAATGGTTCCAGCAACCCGGTATACAGGGACCTGAAAGCTTTGCACGCGACCAGCGCCCACGATGTCCCGCAGGACTACAACCCGCAATCGAGGCCCGCTTATCAACGCGGCTACTCTCCGGCCATGGACAAGCAGCCGAGCTACGAGAAGGATCCGCACAGGCCACCCTCGTCCAGGGAGGAGGACAAGTCCTGGGACTACAGCGAGAAGGCCGACCGGAAGGACTACTCGAGGTCGCGGGACTCCTACAGAAACGACTCGTACCGTGAGTGGGCAAGATTTTTCTGACTTTCCCGGGGAAAAATTCAACCGCGCACACGTCATCGCCGGCTAATTGCGTAAATTAGAATACTGGGTCAACCGCGGCTGTTAATCTTACGAATTACGGTGTAAATTGTCGCGAGACGGGGCGCTTAATTGTCCGGATTAGAATAGTAGGTTATCGCTCGCGGGTCGGTTATCGAGAGGATTTAATTTCCTAAATTACGACGTGGCTGCCGCCGGTGCTCGCCAGCCGTCATTAGTTCCTTGGATCGTACTCTAATTAGTTTTATTACCTATACCGGCGACCGCGTGTGTCAAACGGCCTACCACGCTCAGGCGAACATTAAGAATCACGATTTTTTAGCGACTTTGTTTTCGAACGCTTTCCACCTGTGCCACAACATCTTGGTAGCTTGGCAACGATTTCTAGTCTTGGATCGGTTAGCAGAATCATTCGTCAACCCTGGAACTACCGATTCAGTTCAGATGACTGGTTTCTGATGTTTTCTTTTACGCTTTCTGATATTATGAAAATGTTTCTAAGAGATACTTTTAGAACAACTTCTTTATACAAGCGTAATTATCATAGAAATCGCACGAAGTTTAAATAAATGCAATCTCGCCATTGTTATAAATCAATTTATAATAATCCCGTAAAGGTCTCGGTAGTTCTAGCGTTAAGCTTCTTTGTTCGAGGCCCTCGATGCCTCGTGTATTTGAACAAACACAACGAAATACAAAGCTATCATAAAACCTAGTTTGTAGTAAAACTTCAGTTGCCATTCGTTAAAATTCTTTTTCGTTACACCTTTGCTTCGCCTGCTAATAAGAAAACTAAATAATTAAAATATCGGTCATCCGGTGCTCCCATGAACTATTCGCGAATACTCAGATAGCTCTTGTAACGCAGAGAGCAGAAGCGTACCTCGCACCTGTCCCTAAAGAGTTAAAGAAACCAGGTCAGTTTACACGATTAGGTTTCGCTGTTCGAGCCTTGTGTCAACTGAACGATGGCTCGAACAATCTATCATTGTTCGAAGCGGGAAGATTGAGACATTTGACACGCGCGATCGAGGGATCGCGGCACGCTGGTTCGCGGTGGTTACAGCTTTGACGTTCGCAGAGGACGCGGTGAAGCAGGAGCAGAAGGAGCAGTCGAGCCGCGAGTGGGTGTCACCTGTGCCGGAAGTCGAGGTGGGAGGCTCGTTGCCCGGCGGTCCTCAGGTGCGAGCGAGGAAGGACATTCCACGAGGTGCAAGGTTCGGCCCGTTCCTCGGGAAATGGGCGAGCGAGCCTTTCAACCACCGCTACGCGTGGGAGGTGAGTTGCATTTCTTGCTTATCGGCGGCTGAGCGACGTTATCCTGGATTTCCGAGCGTCTCGGATAAACGAAGCGGGCGTATCGACGGCCCCGCGCGATCGTATTCGGAACCGTCTCGGTACCGCTCCCGAAGGAGCGCAACCGTTCCTGGAAACTGAGTCGCATAATCTCCGCGACAGTTTAGGGCTCCCCGCAAAACCGAGGATTCGCTGGCGATATTATCTCGCGCCGGGGTTCTGGCCGTTTGAAAGATGATCGATCTGTTTACGGCTCGGGATCGAAACGGAGGAATACTCTGCCCGAGAAACCAGTGTCAGTGGGTCTGCTATCCTCCTGCTATAATCCCTGGTATTATCCGGCAGATGCCGAAGATGAGAGAGAAGGAAAAAGAGAAAGTGAGTGAGAGAGAGAGAAAGGGGAGAGAGAGTGAGAAAGAGAGAGGGACACGGACAGACAGCGGAGCAGACACCTGGTCGCCTCGTTCGTCGAAGGTGTCATCCATGTTGACAGATCTGTCAATTGGCTTACCTTGGACAGCTCTCTCTCTCTCTTTCTCTCTCTCTCTCTCTCTCTCTCTCTCTCTCTTTCTGTCTCACTTTCTCTTCTTTCACGTTCCAGTCGTAGAAAATTCTTTCGAGACTGGCTCGTAGAAACGCCGGGTCCTTAAGTCGACCGTAAAATCGATGAACGGAGTCAAGATCGAGGAAACGGTCCGTTGAATCGCCTCGATCGCGGCGCGGCCGCGCGTTTATTTCGAAAATCGATCGAAATTCCGACCATAATAAAATCACCGGTAATGCCGGTAATTTATAAAATTTTCCTCTGATTATATCGCCGGGGTTCTCGGCCGGTCAGGCCGCGAAAAACGCCGGCCATTATAAAACGATATTATGGTTCGGAGCGAGTCGGTGACTGGCCGGCGCGCCACCGGTCCAGGGGGTGTGATAGATATGATAGCGGCAGCGTTATGTTACGTTAGCGCATGTCGCACTGACAAAATGTAAATGGCGCCATCCATCTAACTGCCGACAAAAAGGCAGCCGGGGCCAACTGTCGGACCGGCGATTACAGGATCGATTAAAGCCAAACTACCCCTTCGTTTCGTCGGGCCGATCTATCAACCCCACGCGCGCGACCGTGCGAGCGCACCACCGGAGAAAGCATCGCGACAGAGATCTCCGCTCCCGTGAATTCTCACCGTGAATTTCTCGCCGCGCGGAGCAGACCGGGCCGCGTCCAGGGTGCCGTTCTCCGCCCCGGTTGCGCGCGGAAAACGCGCGGCGGTTACGAGGGGTGGAGGGAAAAAAGAAAAAATGATTTCTCCGGCGAAGGAAATCCGTGGAATGGCTGGAACCGCGATTTACATCACAGTGTTTGTAACGAACCCAACGGTCGACCGAGAGCGCGATCCTTTTCTGAAATTGGAGAAATCTAGGAGGGATCCCTTTCGCTCGATTCGCACGCTGTCCCCTAATCCTAATCCTTTTCTCACATTCACCGGGAAAGAGGCAAACTTCTCGCGGGATCGAAGGGGAACCGGGCCGATCGCAGAATTATCGATACACTCCGGTTCTCCTGCTTGTCGGACGAAAATCGACGCATTCGGAACACGAATTTTCGATTCGTTAATAGCGAACTGTTAGCTAACCTTTACACGTTCCTCAAATATTTTTATCGTACAGTTTGTGCCAACAAATCGTGTTTCACGTTACGATTTCATTTGAACGCATTCCCGTCAGAACAAAGCGATTCGCTTCAACAAGGAGCTTCTTCAAAGAATTTTCTGTTATTTTTCTTTTTTCTTCAAATTTTTATTCTTTATGTTAACTTTTATTCTTCTATCTTCAATGATTCTTTTTTTATTTTTATTTTAAAATTTATTCTGTACCAAATCATTCTAAACATCATCATTCTTCAATCATTCTTCACATTTTCCTTTCTGCGATTTTACAACTAATGGATAACTTTCCGTACATGTTCCATAAATAAATAAAAAATAGGAATACGCGATGGATGCACAGAGATATACAATCTGGGATAAAAATAATACATTTCGAAAAACAACAAAAATCTTCCTATAATTCCGCAAGAAAATCGACTGCTTCACAACCCTTAAAATTACGAAATGATCGAATCTTCATCTCGAGGAACGTACAAGGATTATTTCCGTTTCTCGAAATTGTGTAAACATCGACAGAATGTATCGAAGAGAAGGCGGAGGATACCGAATTACGCGGACGAGAAAGTATCCCCTATGTCGAGCGTATTTGCCCAACATTTCGTGGACACTTATGGTACACACACCTGAAGCGGAACGAAGGGAGACGGTTTGGAAGGGAGGTATCGCTGGTACCCCACCTGCCGCGCCGGCCGAGCCTCGTTTTTCGGATCCTCGCGGAGGGCTGGCAGCCAGAAAACCGGGAGGAAGCTAAAAGGGGAGGGATCCTCTCTTTCCGGTTGCGTTTTGCTCGGTGACGCGTGATCCGCAGAGTCGCGGCGTGCCTTCGTGGCGACTAAACCAATCTTAGGCTTAGCTCACTCGTCTGTGAGACCCTCGCGTCGAGGGTACCGCTCCAATTTGCCGAGTGATCTCGAGAACTCGCCTCAAATGATCAATCTTGTGGCGTTTATTCTACGGACTGCTCTCGCCGCGTTCTTCCAGCTACGATCCATGAGATTGGACCGCCTCGCGTTGTTTTCACTCGATCTCGAACCTTTGGGAAACAACGTAATCGTTTTAGCATTTCGTAATTTTTCTTCATACTTTCTTGGCTGCAGACATTTTCTAGTAGTCCGAGTTAGGTGTGATCAAGTTTTCCATGCTTGAAGCGAAACATTTCACCCCTGGTGATGGAGATCTCTGATAATAGCCTATTAATATACTGAAATGACCGCATATTATTTCCCGCAGGCTTACTCTAAAATCGTGAAAAAGTTATTATCCGGACACAGTGCAGCACATTGCGGTATGATTTGAACATCTTCTGGTAAAATTTTTACTCTAGAATTCTCTCCAAAAGCTTCCAGATTTATGGTTCTGTCCTTTATCCAAACATCTTCGTTTTCCGATTATTCGGATTTACTTGAACTTATATTTAGTTGCATAGTTCTACGTTTGCGCACAATAATCTCGTCATCACTATCATTATTTCGGACACTATTTCTGAATTACAGTCGTTATCGCTCGAAATATCGAACAAATCGCCTGCGTAATACTCCAGAAAACTCATTTCGTTACACAAATTAGTGTCCTTTCTTGATATTATTTAAAGGTATTTAATTTTCTTTAAATTAAAATTATTATGAGAATAATAATTAGATATAGAATATAAGAAATACAAGAAATATTCGCTCGAATATTTTGTAATACTTAGCAACTATTGTCAGAACAGATAATTTCAGAGAAAAGAGATAAAAACGAGAAATCTCGTAGCCGGTCTTTCATGTCTCAGCATTGAAACACAAGAGATCTCGTGAGCGGTCGTTTAAGTGTTAAATATGAGTGTTATTTCGTTCTTTCAAGCCTGAATAAAATTCAAATATAATATATCAGCGATAATCCCAACGATAATATATCAGCATTCAAGTAAATATAGGCGCACAATGAATGTAAATATTGTTTTTGTTCTAATAATCGTTGCGACTGCGAAGAAAATGGCACGACGAGGGGGTTAATGCAGGCAAAAGTCTTACGCTTCTGGCATCGGTGACAGTTCTATTTCTATGAACGTCCCTGAACAGAAAATAGTTGGATGTTTGAGACTTCTAACGCTTCTAGGAACAATAGACGATGTTTTCACCGTCTGAGAAAATCATCAACGCTATCGATCATTTAAATCAGAATTGCACCGTCGAAAGAAGATAAATACTCGCTTCACCGCCGAAGTCGATCATTACTTACAAAAATTACAAAAATTACAAAAATTACAAAAATTACAAAAATAGCAGTAAGCGAATTAAAAAATCCTGTGTGCCTACGTGCGAATCTTGAAAATGTCCGAACAATTTCGCTCGCGATATGAGTTGCGTATTTCGCGGGCAAAGTATTTGTTCGCCAGGAACGGTTGTTTTCGTAATAGTCAGGATTTCCATACGGGATAGGAGGGTCGTCCGGTTCCGCGATCCGTAGAATCGCGACCCCCTCGAAATTGCCGTTCGGTGCTCGTTGATCGGCATATTGGAAGCATCGTCGATTCTTCCGCGTGATCGCTGACGGCCCCTCTCGAGGTCTCTCTCTTTTCTCTGTGGACGAGAGAGCGAGCACGGCCGAGCCGTCGAGCAAAGGGCGTGGAGCAAAAAGGAGCGGAAGATCGGTTGTTTTTCATAGCGAAGCGGGCGCACGCGGCTCGGTGATCGCGCGGACCACTTTTTCGTGAAATCGGCTGGAAGGCCGTGCCATTAGCGGCGTATGTCGCTGACAAATCATATAAATGGCGACTCTCGACGGAGCGTGTCCTCGCGTAAACCGCACGAGAGCCACCCCACTGTCCAATAATGAGAGGAATCGTGCCCGCAAAAAGAGAGGCCGCGGCACCAGGCTCTCTCGCCCCACCCCGATTCAGCCTTTGGCAAAAATCTCTCTTCGAAAACGTTACTTAATCGTCGGCTGCGAGCGTTGCGCTGCGCCCTTCTCGGATTTCGCTCCGCCGAGACGATCTTCATTGAAATAACAATGTCCGCACAATGGCCCGGTCTTCCTAGCACGCCCACCACTTTTGCTCGCAGCACCCTCCGCAAGGATCCTCGTTGGATCCACGCAGGATCCTCGTAGGTGGTGAGCTGCTCCGGTATTGTAGATATTATTAAATTCTTGCTCGATGTGGACGCATGTAGACAATCGACGTGTCGGTCGTTCCGGCCGTACAATGCATAACACCGGCGCCCCATTATTCGTGGACATTGTCCAGGTGAACTGGTCTTAGGGGCGTTGCTGGAGGTCAAGCCCCGGAAGTGATTCGACAATGAGCCACATTATGCTCGAGAGACCCCCTTGCTTCTC